CGTTGACTCCAACGTGTTGACTACAACGCACTGACTCCAATGAGTTGACACCAACGCTTGACCCCAACATGTTGACTCCAACGTGTTGATTCCAACACATTGACCCCAACGCATTGACTCCATCACGTTGACTCCAACGTGTTAACTCAATCACGTTGACTCCATCGCGTTGACTCCAACGTGTTGACTCAATCACATCGACTCCATCGCGTTGACTCCAACACATTGACCCCAACGCGTTGACTTCAACATGTTGACCCCAATGTGTTGACTCCAACACATTGACCCCAACACATTGACTCCATCACGTTGACTCCATCGCGTTGACTCCAACACATTGACTCCAACACATTGACCTCAACGCATTGACCCCAACATGTTGACTCCATCGTGTTGACTCCATCACACTGACCCCAAGGCATTGACCCCAACGTGTTAACCCCAACACATTGACCGCAACGCATTGACCCCAACGCATTGACCCCAACATGTTGACTACAGCACGTTGACTCCATCGCATTGACCCCAACGTGGTGACTCCAACACATTGACCCCAACACGTTGACTCCAACACATTGACCCCAACGCGTTGACCCCAAGGCCATCGCTAAACGCTCATCCTCCCCCTTCCGTCCCCCTCCATCCCCGGAGGCGGCGCCGCGCACGGCCCCAACAGACCCAAGCCATGCAGACAGTAGCTTTTATTGGTGCCGTGCCGGCGGGGCCGGGCCGCGTCACAGCGTGCGGCTGAGGTGCACGGGGCGCCCGTCCTCGCAGGCCACCTCGACGCGCTGGTGCCGGCGGGCGGCGCGGTAGGCGCACGGGTGGTAGACGCTGCCGCCGGTCACGCGGCAGGCGGTGACGTCGAGGGCGGCGGCGGTGGTGCGCAGGGCCGGGCCGTGGCGCGGGGCGCACAGCGCCAGCAGCTCGGCGGCGGGCGCGTGCACGAACGTGTTGACGGGCTTGCAGGGCCGCCCGGGGCCGTTGACGCGGCGCCGCTGCAGCAGGGTGCTGCAGTAGCGCCCGCCCGGCGGCCCCGCCGGCCCCGGGTGGTCCAGGTGCTGCCGCAGGAACTTCTCGTAGCGCGTCTCGTAGCAGCCGCCGGGCGCCAGCGCCGCCAGCGCCAGCAGCACGAGCAGAGGCCACCCGGCCATGGTCACCTGCGGGGCGCGCGGGGGTCCCTCGGGGTTTTGGGGGACCCTCCGGGGGTCTCTGTGCCCTCCTCGTGGCCATCCCTCCATCCTATGGGCTTGGGGAGGTCCCCGGTGTCCGTGTCCCCCATCTCCATCCATGGGCTCAGGGACCT